CAACCTTTTACTAAGGGTGGTCAATTAACCACCCTTCATCAAAATGTTATGAAAAATTACATTGTGTATATAAGTAAAATATTACATTTTAGATGTACATAACATATATTGAACACCCTTTGTCAGAAATCCTTTTTTTACTTCTTTCAAGTCTGAACACCCTTGGGGGAAATTTTGTAGCTTCGCCATTGTTCTCAAGGTAGGGGTAAGGTCTCACTGCACACTATCCATCTCAAACTCCACTTGTAAGATTTCACTGGATAAGTTATTGTTGTATTATTATAAGATTAAAAAATATTCATCATGTGTTACATAAAAAAATTCTCTTAAAAGGATACTTTAATGGATCATATCTTCGTTAATTTGTTCGTTTCTTACTAAACATAATTGACTTATCAAAATTATATCCATACTTCTAGAAAATATAAAAGACTGAATTATATTTTAGTGACAACAAAAATTAACAAAACTGCAAAAATCAAAAAGATCAAACCGATATAATATAACTGATTTAGTTTTAATTTGGTTAAAATAACCAAACCGATCCATAAATACCCCTACTTTTCGCAATGACATTCGACCACTACATATGCGAAAGACTAATCTCATTTTCTCATTCCACACTAATTAGCAAGTGTAGAGATATATAATTTCTCCCACATCTAGATGAATTATTTGCTCTGCCTCACTATAGATATCGAATACTGGGTGAGAAACTAAAAAAAAAATCTTTAAATTTTTGTTCGTCTATTAGTCCAGTAAACTAAGGACCCATTTGTCCATAATTTTTTTTTGAAACCTATTTTTAAAATATTGTTTGGTACGACATTTAACTAAATCTTTGAAGATGAATTTTAAAAAATTTGAACATGAGTTTCAAAGTTGAAAAAGTGGTTTTTTTTTCTATTTCAAATAAAGTGAAATGCATATCCAAACACAATTTTAATTTTCAAATATATTTTTCTAATTTAATTTCAATTTTTTTTCGAATTTCACATTTTTTATATCCAAGCGCCTACTAAATTTCATACAAAAATATAACAGGATAAAACCTTTTTTGTCGACAAAAAATATTAGGCTTTTCAGGAGAAGAAAAAAAATATTTTAAAATAAAAGCAACGCCAAATTTTTAATCGATGCATAAACCTGGACCACGTTACATGATGCGGAGAATGTCATTCTTCATGTTAAATTATTTTTTTCACAGTTTCCATTAAATTTAATGACGAAAGTATATTTAAGTATTTGATGGAGACTAAAAGATTCACTTCTGGCAAAGTTAACCCACAACTAGTCAAGAATATATTTAAGAGACCATTTTTGTCATTTCTTCTTGCACTAATTATTGCAAAAATAGCGCGGGCTAGCCAGTTTTCAGACTGATCATTCAAAAATAGCCAACATTTGCAAAGTCATTAAAAAATAGTCACTATTTTGCTGCAACACGAAAAGTTCCAGCATAATATACTGGAGATTAGTATACCTGTGTATGAACTTCCAGCATATTATGCTGGAACTCCAACACACGGAAAGTTCCAGTATAATATACCGGTCCAGCATAATATACTGGAGATTAGTATACCTGTGTATGAACTTCCAGCATATTATGCTGGAACTCCAACACACGGAAAGTTCCAGTATAATATACTAGAGATTGGAGCACCGGTACTCCAATCTCCAGTATATTATGCTGGACCGGTATATTATACTGGAACTATACTGGAGTTCCAATATACTTATGCTTGAACTCCAGTATATTATACTAGAGTATTTTTCGGATTTTGAACAATGTTTTCGTTCAGATTTATCTTTAAATGAAAAGTGGCCAAAATTTCGATTACTTTTGTAACGACTATTTTTAAATAAAAATGATCACTTGTAAATCTGACTATTTTTGAATTTCTCCCATAATTATTGGCTAGATTTTACATTAGACGATCAAATTTCTTTAACGTGTACCATATTCTTTCTGTCCATTGTAAAGGGAGAAGCACTGGGAACGGATATTTGTTGATTTGACAAATCATATGAGCTTTTTATCTCATCAGACTCATTCTTACAATCCTTTCGGTGATGAATATTTTGGATGCTTTGCTTTATAAAACCTTAGATTAGAGATGGATATGAAACTTTTTCCAACTGCTTCGCCTCCAAAAAAAAAAAATGACTTCAATTCAAGCTTAGTTTAAACATGAAGTCCTTTTACTATTCTTCATCAAATTTAAAAGGGGAAATGTTCTGTTTCTATTAAAGGCGATTTCCCCAAGATGCTTCTAAAGCTTAAATTTTTTCCCAACTATTTAACTTTTATTAACCCCTTTATCCTAAGATGCACTAGGGGCGGAAGCAGAAGTCGAGCTATGAGTTCCGCTAAATCTTGCAATTTTTTCTTAAATAATATATTTTGTATTAAAAAATTTATTAAATATGTATGTATATTTAATTTAGAATTTAATCATTAGCACTTGAAGTGGTCATCTTAAAATTCAAACCCGTAAAATTAAAATTGTGGTTCCGCCTCTGAGTACTAGTAGTACTGTGTAATAGTACTTATAGGATTATATGCAGAAACGATATTATAAAAACTCTACTCCATCCATTTCTATTTAGTTGTCTTTGCCCATTAAGAAAATATCAATAAGAAAAGTAATTTGACTAATCTGATCTACCTCTTATTAAATCTTTAATTTTTGCCTATTTATGCGCTCTTAATTCTAGAACAACTAATGCTACATATAATGTTGACAAGGAATAACTAATTCTCTCTTAATATTCTAAAATAATAAGTATTTGAAAATAACTATTTTTAGCATACATGACAACTAAATGACTAAGATGGAGTACTATTTCGTAGTCTCTGAAGTCATCAATGTGTAAGCTTCTTTCTTCAGAGCGAAAAAACTGTTTTCCCTAAGATTCCATACTGAAACTTCTTTTATGTGAGAAAAATAAAAGAAATCACCAATAAGGATTAGAAGCAACTTCTGTTCATATTAACTATAATTCAGAACTAAGCTTTCATAACAGAGAATTGACACATATGGAAGGAAGCCACTTGGATGGCAATAATGGCAGTCACAAGCTATGTTGCGTAGACTCTCCAAAATAATGCCGCACCCGTGTCAGATCCTCCAAAAACACATTATTTTGGAAGGATCCGGTATACATCCGATGATATTTTTAGAGAGTCCGAGCAACATAAATGGCAGGAAAAGCTCAATTCTAGATTAATTCCTAGTCTTCCTATCAGAGCTCATCTTTACTGTTCAAAAGGTTAAATAGTGTAGGCCAAAAGAAAACTACAATCAAAACGCTTAATCCTTTTTCCTCATACTTTGAGATGCTCCTCAATGTAGCAAGGCTGATCAAGGAGCGAGGCTGCTCGTCATAGACATAGTTTTAAGTTGATATCAATCGATTCGAATAAGTAAAGTTACTTTTGTCGCTTTTTGCTCAAGTTGTCTTTCCCTAACGTTCAGAGCAACTATACTTCAAGTTGGGAAAATAGTCAATAAATGATGAGTTAATGTGAAAAGTGAAAACATGTCAAATTCTATAATCTCGCTTCTATTTCAAAATGAGCTCTACTTCGAGAAACTCTAATCGTAGGCAAACTTTCACAATAGTCTTGTCAAAAACCAAATCTAGTAGTTTGCACTATTTGCATTCTTATGTTTATGGGCACTCTAATCTATAAGCAAATTAGACTAATTATCTTGAGCAAATACTTGGTTGGACATACACAGCATCTAGTCAATCTTAGATTTTAGATTTTCCTCCTTTAGTGAGTCAAAGACTGGACCTGGTACCAAACAGCAAGTCCAGACACGAATTTGCTATTCCATTGTCTTTAAAATGTCCTAGAAAGGAATTTGGTCAAAATAATCATCTAATTGAATGTTGAACTGGAAGTAGTACTTTTCTGTATTTCTAATGGTACCCTAGTCATCAGTCATCACAAATGAATAGAAAGTTAGGCTCCTTATAGGAATCTGGGGGTTGCTCCGAGAAATCCTTTCTTTCTCGTCCACTCAGGGGGGTGTGGACACACCTGCACGGATTACAGGTGACAGTTACAAGAATGGCGGGGAAATTAACAGTACCCGACGACATTCAGGGATGGATGTAGACCCATGGTACAGCGATAATCATTCCGGTCCTGAGAGAAATAGCGACCATTCTCAAGAACCAAAAAGACAGTAAGCCCTATGAGTCACTGAAATGACGGCAAAATTGTCCTTTTTCTATCAATAGAGGTAGCAAAAAATGGGCTTTGCACCCATTAACAATATGAAGAAAGAAATAAGGGTCGAAGTTTAGACCGCCACATGCAGGGCCACGATTTGAAGTTTGTGAATTCAGGTTTTAAATTACGCCTAATAATTTATACGTATATAATAACATTTTAAAGATAAATACAGAGTTTAAACCAAAGTTACTGGGTTCGCTTGAACCCGCAAATTCTATGCTAGCTCCGCCCCTCACTGTAGCTGTTTTTGTTGATATACTGTCTTTTTGAATGGGACACCATGGCATCCTTGCATATTGGCCTAGAATAGCCTCTTTTAAATGTTAACCTTACCTTTCCACTTTAAAGATACCATAAATATGCTATAAAAATTATGCCCAGCCACCCAAAATCAGAAGATAATTTAAGATATTAATCATATCCCTGAATCAGACTTAAGTGTATTAACTAATCTTTCAAATCAAATTTTGAGAAATCACAATTAACTTGCAATAATTTCAGCAAATAACATAACGAGCAGAACATATTCATAAGCCAGAACAATAAGTGGCACAAGAAGGAACTCATGTTTCTTATCATATTAGAATCAAATCATAAAGACGAATATCCTATGCCAAAACTTCCAAAAAAAAATAAATCTTTTTTCATAGTAAACTAACTATACTAATTAATGACCAAAAATGTCTAACTTATACATTGCTATTTTCTTCATTCTAGTAAACCTAATACAGATTCCCATGCCCCAAGAGTTCTAATAAGAACAAGAAAGAATGGCCTATGCTAGAACCTAAACTTGAAAAAGCTAAACAGAGTTTAGAACATTAATAATAATTAAAAAAAAATTAGCTTTCTTTACAAAAAGCTGTCTTTTCCACAAACTGTTAAAAAAATCCTCAAAGATTGGAACTTGAACTTTGAAAAAAGCACCAGTAATGACAAGAAAACCTCTTTTGTTTTCATCAGCCTTTGACCAACATCAGAAAATATTAGAAAACCCATAAATTTTCTGATTTTCCAAGAAATGGAATTAATTCATTTACCTCATTTGGAGCGGAGCAAGAAGATACTAAATTCTTGACCCGGACCTTCTTCCGGGTTAATCAAATGAAACGACTCCGAATCTGCACCACCAATAACACACTCGTAGTTAGCTCTCATGTACAACACCTCTTCACATTGATCAGTACTACCCGAAACCGATCCCGAAGGAATCACACCCGCCCCGACTGTCATGTTCTGCATGGTTTTAAGCATGTTTCGGGTCGGTTGGGTCGCCCGTCTTTTAATCGCAAACCCGATTTTACGTCCATTACAGAAAAGAGTCCAAATAGGAATAGAATGAAGCGGACAAAGATTCAGTTCTGATGACGTGTCCTTGAACTCAAGAGCAATACGTACAAGTCCACTTTGCATTTCTTGAATAAGTGTAGTGGTGGGGATGGAAAGTTCTAGAAGAAGTGAAGGCTTTGTGTTGAGACGATCGTGTTGTACACAGAACCACACGTGTCCGCCGCGGCGTTGGCCGTAGATGGTGCCGATCACCATTGTTTTTGAGGAGCGTGGAGGAGCAGAAGGGATAATGCTGTTTGATGGGGTGGTGGGGTAAGAATCTTGATCTTCTGGTAATTTTTTCTCTTGTTTTGGGTCGTCGAGATCGTCACGTAAGGAGGTGCTGAGGCGTTTTTTTGGTGCAATGGTGAGTGGGGGTGGGGGTGCTGGGGAGGTAGGGGTGGTGGTGAAGCAGGGGAGGAGGAACCGACGGAGGGCGTCGGTTTTTGGCATGGCTAGGTTTTTTTCTTCTTTTCTTTTTGGATCAAGAATTGCAGAAAGAGGTTTTCAAGAAGGAGAGAAATGAAGAAGATGAAGATGAAAAATGAGATAGTTTGTGTAAGGATTTTGGAAAGGGTTGTGGTGTATAGCAGTATATATATAGTGTATAAGATATGATGAAAAAGAGAGAGGGAATTGAAAGAGCGGGAACTGATGTAGCCGTTACATTGAGGAGAAGAAAGAGGAGAGAGTGAGTCCAACCTTGCTCTAACTTGAGTCCATTAAAGAGGAAGTTTTCCCTACCAATGTTTCTATTCCAGACTTAACACATAACCAATATTTGCACTAAGAAAGAAGTAGCCCTATCTACTAAACTCCCGTCGTGTTATGTGCAGGATTCGAAAAAAGGCCAGACTATATTAGATTTTAAATACGCAACTTTATCATCTGCAAAATACTGTTTCTATGTAGGGGCGAAATTATAGGCTAATATATGGGGCACGTGAACTCATGGTCTCTCCATCGAAATAGGTAATTACGTATGTATTTTCTAGAATTGATCTAATATTATCTGCTGACACCCATATCCAAAAAGGCTAAATGATGCATTTCGTGGAATGCTAACTTGTTTATCTAGAGGAGCACAAGGATCAATTCCACTTAATTAATACTTCATATTTTTTTCTTTTTTTAGTGGTGCACTCATGTTATAAAAATTCTAAACCCGCCTCTGTTTCTATGACGTGAACGTATGACTTTCTGGTCATACGACGATAACTTTTACCGTTGCATAGGGCTCTAGTTCATCCAATATTTGCATTACACCAAATTAACTTTATTTTAGAAACTTACTGTTTTGAACTTCTGATGATAAGATATCTAAAATTAATTACATTTAAGGACAAAAGTGAATGGAAATAAATTTGTGTTTTGTGCAAACATAAGGATGAGTAAGGCTTGTTGAAAGGTGATGGCTGCTCTGCTTTTGTTACTAGTATTATTTTATACTCCGTAATTATAATAGTAGAACAGAGAGCAGAGAGAGACAAAAGAACAGATTTTATGTGGACAAACAGAGAATTGAAGGATTCAGTATGTGAAGAAAGATGCAGGTTTTGACCCTTTGACCAAAGTAATGATTTCAGGGTTTTAGTAGAACGAGAGAGAGAAGCAGAGAACAACGTGGAGGATAAAAGGAGTATTTAGATGTGGGGGCTGGTCAAGATACTTCAAATTAAAAGGGGTAAATACAGCTGGATTCGATTGAATTCTACTACAATTTGTTTCCCTTTAAGGCAGAAAACTGCATTTCTATTCTTTTTTAGCTGAAAGAGGGATCTTTACTCCTTTAATAAAAGTTCAGAGGCGAAGTCCTATGGTGGGGATGTATGGATTGGTTTATTGGGTTAGAGAATTGATGGTAGTGTATAAAGCAATGTAAATATGAGAACCTTATTCTTGTGTATTTATTTATTTGGTTGTTTTGTAACAGTCATACTTGGGTTAACTTATGTACACCTTGATTATTTTATTCGAAACATGTTACCACTCTTTGGTATTAGAGGCAGATTCAGATTTGAATTTTGTGGGTTCGAGTTCGAGGTCGGGATTGTACTACATCCCAGTTGATTTGTCGGGTTCGGAATCTATTACTACTACATATACTTATTAAGTATTCCATCCATTCCAATTTATCTAGTGATATTCGGATTGCGAGAGTCAAACAAATTTTTTTATCACAATTTTTTTAAATGCCTTTTCAATTGTCTCAAAAAACTTTTTAAATGAACGGTCAAAATCAAATAGTTCACCTCATGAAATTTGAGTTATGCCACATAAATTGAAACAGGTAAAATTTGAGTTCGACTGAAGCCGTAACCTACGTTAATTCTGCCATGAATCGGCACATTAACAAATAACTATGCCTGTTAGACTTAAAATGAGAAAAATTACCTAACGTTATTTCATCTTAATAAAAAGTTGGATCCTAATCTTCTACTATAATTTATTTATTTTATTAATGCTGAAGCCATACTCTTGGTGCAATAACCTTCCGCTAGTGAAGTGTAGTATATATGATGCCATAAGGATCATGAATGGAAGTAAATGGAGTTTGTTGAGTCTTGACTGGTTACGAAGACCAAACTATAGAGGGACATTAATAAAGCGTTCTTGGAATTTCTTTTGCCTTGAACTTTGGCCACTGCCCACTGCAAATGAAGATCAAAAGATGTTTTCATTGGGTAAGGGGTGGGAGGAATGGAATATTTTAATGGAACTTTTAGGGAATTGGTCCATAGTTGGTGCCTCATTCTTACCTGATAGGTCTTCCCTCGTCAAACGATAAAAAAAAATCAGATTGGCTTTTCGCCGTGCTCTGCAAGGTGAGGCTTTGCCCTTCCCCTAGAATCCACTCCGGGTTGGAGGAGCAACTAGTCAAACTTCTTGAGCAGCCGAGATAACGATGTTCTAATATTATATAATAGCCATAAACGGAATCTTAAGAAGCAGAAAATCTTTCTGGAAAGAAGTAAGAAGCTGATTGTAATGTTGTAATGGCCAAAAGGTCAATTTCGATAAGAGCCAGTGCTTCCTCTCGAACAGAGCTCCTCGCAGAAATTCCAGATCATTGAAGAGGAATCAAAATAAAATGGTAGTTTTCTTGTTATGCTGAATTATAGTGAGACCCAAAATCTACACTTGTCAAACTGTGACAATCCTCATGTAGTTGTATATTGTAAATCTGTGTTAGGAATAACAACAATAATCCAGTCGAATCCTCATGTAGCTGTATATTGTAAATCTATGTTAGGAATAACAACAATAACCTAGTTGAATCCCACGAGTGATGTTTGGAGAGAGTAATGTGTACGTAAACTTTACTCTATTCTAGGAAGGTGGAGAGATTGTTTCCGATAGACCTTCAGCTCAAGAAAGAGAAAAGAAACGGTGGAAACAAGTAACATCAACAAATAGGCCAGAAAGATAGAAACAACAATCTCAAAGTCAGAAGTAGATGAGAAGAAGCGGTAGCAACAATAAGCAGTAACAACAACAGGGTACTAAGAGAACGAAGGCCGAAGCAGAAGAAAATAGGAAAATAATACGAAATACTAGCAATCTAAGACAAAAAACTACCATACTAACTCTAATACCCTCGGTCCCTAATAAAAATACGCTCGACTACCTACTAACCTTCTACCTAATTTTTGACCTCTGATCCACGTACTCCTATCAAGGGTCATGTATCACGAATAATGGAAACTGTTTTCAAGGAAATATTTTATTTATATTTTAAATGAAAAAATAAAAATAAAAATCTCCCTTCTCTCTAACTTCCCTCTCTAACCAACGATGGTATCAAAAGATTTGGTATGCCAACACCCTAATGACCCACCTCTCATGCCCCCACCAGCTCCCCTTGACCTATTGTCCTCAACCAATGATAATCCAACAACAAACCTACTTAAAATCAGTCCACCTATAGTCACCAACTCAACGACTACTATATAGAACACCTCCCACACCAAACCACCCCATTCCACCAGAATCCCAAATAGCATCTCCATAATTTCGACCTCTACAGATCCAAAATTTACAACCACAGAACCTAAACCACATAATATGGAGCCCAAGACAAGTCCTATACCATCTTAACCCAACATCTCCTCAAACTTTGACATGTCGCCCCACCGGAATGAGCTTGCTGTAGATGAAAATATTAATCAAACACAAAGTCTCCCCCAGAAAATACTATTACATCAAATGCCTAACCCACCATCCAAAAACACAACTACAACTGACATGCAATTATTGTGATTATCGGTGATAGGAAATAGAACAAGTGCATGTGGGGGTAACAAATGGAGTGATGCAATAGTATCAAAACCATCTTTTGCAGCTGTTGCACCATCCTAATTGGCCTCTCTAAACAATGATGCACTGCTGATCGAAATTCCACATGGTACACACCTAGGTAAGCCAGTTGTCTTCTTCTCGACTGAGGAATTTTTTTGTGAATCTGGCTAAAAAATATAGACTGACTCTAATATGAAAGTTTTATAGAGACAAACCTACTATGGAGGAAATAAGGAGAGTTTTTATCAGAAAATTTCGATTAAAAGAATCAGTGAAAATTGCCTATTTTGATTACATGTATGTCTAGTTAGATTTCACTTCTGAGATTGATTATAACCACATTTTATTCAAAGAATATGTGGATATTGGTGAAGTCCCTATGAAGATATTGAAATGGACAACTGATTTTAAACTAGAGGAGGAAACTTCTATTGTTCCTATCTGGGTTTTAATCCACCAACTACCATGGCACTTATTCAAATGGCCTCTTATCTCAAGAATGGTCAAATCTGTTGGAATTGTTGTGGCGCCGGATCAGAAAACATACTTCAAATCTAGGAACAATATTGCGAGAGTTAAAGTGGAGATAGATTTGTTAACACTAAAACTAGATCAAACATGGCTTGGTTTTAATAGACTTGGTAGTGAGGAAGATAGCAGATGGCTCGATATCGAATTTGAAAAAGTGCCAAGTTACTGCTATACTGTAAATTACAAGGTCATATGGAAACTCAGTGCAGAAATAAGGCAACAGACGAGAGAATCAAAGCCCAAAAGGAGGAAAACATTAGTAGAGAAAAGGAAAAGAAAAATGAGGAGGATTTTCAAACAGTGAGCAGTAAAAAAGGGGGGGAAGACAGAAGAGGTGCAGCAAACCACAAGCAACACAATGAGCTTGCATAGAATAACACACAACAAATTGACCAAATCAATCAAAATCCAAAAAGAATCACTAGCATTACTATCAGGGAACCTTCAAAAGTTAACAAATTTCAATCGTTGGAGGATGTACCAAGAAAAAGAAAAGGGTCTTGCTTGCGACGAGTTCAATCATAAAAAGACGAAAAAGGTCACTCAAAATAATCAGATGGAAAAGGGAAATTGCAGTAGGGATAACTTGGAGCCAAAAACAGATTCTTTTAACAAAAGGAAGAAGAGGAATATGAGGAAGAAACAAAATATTGTAATCGAGGATGAGAATATAGACAAACAGGTAAATTTTGTGAATGATCATATAGCACTAAAACTAAGTGAAAAGGAAATAAAAAATTCCAAAACAGTTAATATAGTGAATGAGCAAATGCAAGAACACATACAGGAAGAGATTTCAACATCATCTATTCCAAAATATGATGGTGACCTGATAAATACACATGCTCAGATCAAAGCAGTGTATGAAATTGATCTGGAAGACGCTCACAACAACTATCTTAAGCTAATTAGTAAAACTGATCTTGAGACCAAGAGTAAGGAAGTTGATGACGATCTTACGATTCGGGAACACCCCAACTCCTCTAAAATGAGGTATCACAGTTCAGAGG